AGTGCCTGGCTGCTACAAGAGCCGTGTTTGACAGATGCAATGCTTGTATTGCTGCAAGAGGTGCACATTTCGAACAAAATCTTCATTAAAAAGTTTATAAATAAAATAATTAAAATAATAAATTAAATATATTTTTTTCTTTTTTCGTGATTTCCTGCGAAACAAAGCAAAAAGGAGCATATGTCTATAGGACTTTTTTTCTTAGTTTTTTACTCCTCTACACGCTCCCGAAGTTTTGCCATTTAATTTGGAAACACCCTGTATATAGATTTAAAAATAATTTTATTTAAATCATCAAAATAATTATGTAAGATGCTCAAACTAGAATGTCGAAACTCTTTGCAATATTGTCATCAATGCTTAAGCATTCTACAAAATTATTTTCATGATCAAACAAAATTATTTACAAATCTGTATCTATCTAAACTTTTAGATACTTCAGCAAAACCGTTCTTCTTTGCGAGATCCCATTTTCTATACAATTAATACAGAGTACTTTGAATGCACGTTTCTTTGGCTTATCGCTCTGCTCTTATTCGTATATACAAAGTAATCTGAACATGTCGCTGCTAATAAATAATTGTACTGATTGTAGCGTGACGAGCTAAATTGAGCTTTCACTGACCTAAAATAACTGCACTGATTGTCGTGACCATGTAATAACCAATCGCACGCGCACCGATCCTGCCACTGAGCGATAGATCGAGCGAGCCAATAGCCGATATCAGACTCGAGATGATTAACGGCAGGATCAAGCTCTTGAGCATCCGCAGGAATAGGTCGCCGAGATAATTGATGTACATGATCTCGCGAGGCGTCCATTTCTCACGTGTGTTTCGCAAGATGATACCGAGTATCACTCCACCGACAACGCCGGCGACTGTCAATATAGTTAGCGCGTTATGGCTCAAACAAGCTCGCATCTTCTGCCCCTTAGTCTGCGGCCTCTTATTGGGTTCTTGGGGATAGTACGAACTCCTCTCCTTGATCTTGCCCTGATTCTCCGCCCCCGATAGCGGCGACCTGGAACAAATTGATAACATTTTCTTCTCTTCTTTATAAAACTCTTTCTCCTTTTATTTGATAATTTTCATTATAAACGTTCATGAGAATATTTCGTCGTAGCCTCATTATTTCGAATAATTCATTAATAATGAGTCGGTTTTGAGAAATGAGCTTTTATAATATTTTTTAAATCTATACGCATAAATTATTTCCGTTACGTTTGCTAATTCTGAATTTCGAGCACAAGACAATATATCACGAAAAGATAAGATTATTTGATATATATATATATATATATACAAACACACACATATTTAATTTAATTTAAAAGACAGATACTCTGCATGCACAGTCGACATGTAAACGTGTTGACTTCGAAATGATCACTGTAACAAACAGCAACAGATGCTCCGAGATTTATGCTCTGAGATTTTCCGCAGTGGACGTGACTCTTTTATGTTTTTTTCTAAACCTTGGAAATTATAAAACAATGACGTAAATTCCTCGTAATTTACGTCTATTCTTATATATAGTTAACAAGCAATGTAACTGTCAGTATAAATGCGTCAATTTCTCATCTATTTTATAGGCCATATTTCTTCCAAATTACACTAATAAAATCTTATAATAATCTCCCGGAAATTTTTAGTCACTTACGAAATATTCACAGATAATTCCAATTAATATAAGTCTTCAGTTATATAAGTCTATCGTCAGTTTTGAAAATACAAGATTTTTGTTTCTATTTATCGGGATTATCTCAAGTTACAAAAATCAAAATACAAAAAGTGTAGGCTTTAAAAATTCAAATAAAGTTTTTGCGAATTTTATTTATTCTTGTCACGATTTTACCCAGACAGCACAAAATATTTATAAAATATTTACAAAATATTTAAAATAAATCTTATAAATATTTATAAATATATATAAATAAGAAGGAACTTACAGCCACATACGCAGGTTGTTCTTAGCAAAGTCATATATTTAAAATTCACAAGTAAACGTTTCGGTCAATTTTTGATCATCTTCAGTATATATAATACATAAATGCGGTATGAATATAAAATATAAAATGCGACGTGAGGTTGTCAAATTCAGATTAAAAGTTAGTTCATGTTTCCCGAGAGAAAACGAATTAGGGCTATCAGCATCACTATTTATAAAATATTTACAAAATATTTATAAATATTTATAAGATTTATTTTAAATATTTTGTAAATATATTTTTGTGGTCTTAGATTGCACAGATTATAAACATTTATTATAAATATTATGAAATATTTATTGTAAATGTTACAGTAAATGCTATGAAAATACTTAATGAGACATTATAATCCAAGTAAAAAATACTTGTTAGAAATATTTATTTATATTTATCTATTACATAACATATTTAGTCTATATTTTAATAATATTTCGAATAAAGCTTTATATAATACGTGTAATATTTATACAACATTTAAAAAGATGAATATCAATAAATATTTATCATAAATATTCTGTGCTAACTGGGAAGAAATAAATTTTGCTTACCCTGTTCCATCAGCGTTCATAATACTCGCACCAAGAATATATAAAACAATTTATGAAATAATTATTAGAATTTATTTTATTATAGAAAATTAATATCTTATAATATCGCTAAATATCGCGAGTGGCATTCGAAATATTTTCATTATACTTCTTTCAATTTCAGAACAATCGTACTGTTTATTTCAATAATTAACACTTCGTTATGGTATGTGGGTCTGACATTAACGCTCAGTTTGCACGTTTCTCGATTGTTGGCAACCGCACTTCGCACGACAACGTTGCCATAACAATTTTGTTTTAATCCAAATTTATTGCATCTGACACTTTTCGGAGATCACAAGTCTCTTCTGCGGTTAACTGGGTACTAAACCACCAACTATTTCAAGCTGACAACGTTCCAATACTCCAATTCTCTGAAGCACACGAAACGCAATTTCAGTAAATCCACGAGGAAATGTACCTAAGAGCTAACTGCATAAAAAAATTCGTGCATCATGCAGAGAGAGAAAAGGTTTCTTTAAATTAAACAAATTCCTGCATTGGAATAGTCCAACCAAATGGATGTTTAAATTAAGAATGTGATTATTTGCATTAAAATTGAATTTTTTTGATTAAACAAAACAAGTTTCATTTAAAATTAAATTTGTTTCAATGAAATAAGTTAATATAAAAAAAACTCTCGAGTCCAAACAAATCTTTTTCTCTGTGTGTTAGAATTAGAAATGCAAGATATCCTCGATTTAAAATTGGAAAAGTAATACGATTATGATGATCGATTAGAATTAATTGATAACGATTTTGGACAGCAGAAAATCCTTCGAAATCTGTCGAAATCCGTCAAGGCGAATCGCCTTTATCGTGATACAGTAAATATACGATAAAATACACGGAAGTGACAGCATCCACGAGCTATATTCGTATGCAGCTGGTAAGAGACGAGAAATTGTACTGCGGATTGTCATCGCAGGCACTCCTTTACATTGCAACGATATGTCGGTTTCCCATTGGATAATGCTATGTATTTGTGCTAAGAAATGTATTATTATTATTACTTTATTACGCGTTTACTGATACAAAGCTTTTATGGAATTAAGCGGATCAAGCAAAAGCTTTGTCTTGCACTTATTGTTTATTCGATAATATAACGCAGGCGTAACTTTACAAAATATACGTGGGTTTACAAAGGTGTGTCATTACAAATTATACGTATCAAATTAATTTGTCGCATTAAAGTGCATACGACGCTTTCTCATTATTTTTTTTTATTAAAAGTCAAAACTTTAAATTGCTAATTTCTATTAAATTTCATACAATATTTTCGAAGAACGAGGCGTGATAAACTGGAACGCGGAATCGCTGATTATTTATAGATGAACCACATTTCGCACTATTCATCAAGTGGTATTTCCACGTGGTAGAAATAAATACGCCTCTCTATGCAATCACTTTTGTAATAACTCACGACTTTAGTAATAACTCGAGTGTCCAGCAGTTTTTACGGTGCGGTTTCAATACAAGATTTGTTCCACGCGATTATGCGTGTGACGGCATAAAAGGCAACAAAAAGAGATGAAGCGTGAGTTCATTTGCGTAGGCTAAAAGAAGGTATTAGAACAAATACGTATAATCTGTCAATCGTCTGCCTTACACAAAAATATTATCGTTGTAAAATGTCACCGACCCTCGGTGACGAGTACCTCGCACATGCCGCTGAGAAAACCGACCAGAGATACATTCGTCAGCATGAATTTTTTATTCGCGGTTGCGTCATCGATCAAGGACGCAGCTCGTATGTATCTAACGCTATTGTAGAAAGACGCTGTTGCGTCTTAATGCTAATGATCCCCATGCTAATGAGCGTCATGACGTCATTGGTTAATATAACATCGATAAGAGAGAGATTATGCGTTATCTTGCATAACGCATAATGCATAAGAAAATGAACCAATCAAATTTCTTTATTTCCTTCCTTTCCATGAAAAAACTCTTTTTGATTGGTTGATTTTCTTATGCTTTATGTATTAAGCGTTACGTAAAGGTACGTGCTTCAGCCTTAAGAGGATCCTAAAGCCGTTTTTGTTACCGATTAAATCATCATTTTTCTATAACAATTTTGTATTACTTTTTCTCTTTTACATATTCGAAAATCCTTTTCCAATATAGTTTTAAAATTTCGGAAAAAAACCGTTTTTTTTTCAATTTTTCCGCGAATTTTATCGGTTCCTTTCTCAACGATAGAAAAATTCATTGAAAAAATTTTTATGTGTTCGTAAGATCCGCCATATTTGCTTCTTTTCGAAAAGAAAATAATTGTAGTTTTCTTTCTACAATTTGAAAAAAAAAACGGTTTTTTTTTTAAACTATATTTCCCAGAATTAAAGTATACGCATTAATTCGTGTCTGTGAAGTGGAGTTTATGTTGAGAATGACAAAAAATTTTGAAATTAAAATCTTAAAAAAATGTTTTGTCGTTCTCGCATAAACTCCACCTCACAAACACGTATTAATGCATATTCTACTTTAATCCTGGAAAAAGATTTTCGAATCTGTGAAAGAGGAAAAAAGTAATTGTTATATACAAAAATTACGATTTAATCGGTAATACAGACGGCTTTAGGATCTCCTTAAATCTTGATTTTGACAATTTTGTTGGCTTTAGGATCTCCTTAAATCTTGATTTCGACAATTTTGTTGATGTGGAACGATCGAGTATCAGGTTACTGTAATTTAATAAGAGCAACGTTCGGAGCTTGCAGTATAAACCAATATGTATACTTAGCGATTAGTTCTCTCTGCCAAGTTCTTCCGAGCACCCCGAATCGAAGATCTTCCGGGTGCACGAGTCGTGAGTCGTAAGTGTTATATGTAGATCCGCGTTTATATATGATCGTAAAGCCAAAAATACATAGAAAAACAGTAAGTAAGGCAGTAAGACGTAAACAGTAAATTGTTCTACAATGTGCTCTTTGTTTCCTGTTTCTTGCTTTTTATCTTTTGCTTTTTTCCTCTTTGTGATCGACAGTTATATCTCTTGATATATGTTTTCTGTTTCTTGTGAAGTTCGTTAACGTTTATCTCGAGCAACAGAAAACGAAAAACGGAATAAGAGGCAAAAAGGCAAGATACAAAAAATAGCAAAAAGCAAGAAACAGGAAACAAAAAGCACATTGTAGAATAGGCTTAAGCGAATCGGTCAATCACAGTAGAAAACGTAAAGCCGTAATCACACTACTGGTTACCAGTTGCAATTCCCAGTTTTCGATTCTATTTTAGCCAATCACGGTGCAGCTTGTTCGTACCCGTTGCATCGTGATTGGCTGAAGTAGAACCGTCAACCGTAGGATATAGTAGAATGCACGATTTCTGATTGAAATTTCAGTTCGAAATTTCTTATTCCCTGTTCCTATTACCTGTGCTTTTCAATTGTGCATAAAGTCCCTCACGGCTCACGCCTATCGAAGCCATCTCTCCATAACTTATTAAAA